TATTGGTGAAAGCCTCAACTTTTTTGTCCTTGTCGTTCCATCTACCTTATTTCAAAGTCCGAGGTAGCCAGGCAACGGACACATTATTGGATAATTCGGGAATATTCTGGACGGTTCTGAAATATTTCCATCAAGGCTCGGAAAATTGGGTGCGCTCGTAATTTCGCGCCTCTGTGTTAACATGCGGGCGTGTTAAAGGGAAAAGATAGATAGACGATATACACTTTATAGCCTAGGTAAGTAAGTAGGTACATGGCACCACAGGAAATAAGACTGTGAATGAATGCCGAAAATGGATGATTGTGCAGTAGATAGCTAGCTACCTATAGGTTGATGTGTTCATGGTCATGATGATGATAATTATTATGAATGATTATCCAATCTAAAAGCAAGCAAAAGTGTAATTTTTTACGTTTTATTTCATAGTCGTCTATTGTCGTAGCAGAAGCCTACGAATAACGTAGACCATGTTTTTTGCGTAGACCTTTTCTACGGCGTAGCAATATAATTGTTAAAAGTTCTACTAGTCACCTACATACTAATGCCATAGTATAAAGAAAGGGGGGAAGTAAGTCATCTTAGAACAACCGCACCACGCGCGGCTTGTATGTGTGCGCAATAGTATCTACGCGTCGCCGCACGCACACATCTAATGGCGGCCCCTACCGAGGGTCCCCGAAACGTCCCGAGATTTGTCAGTGTGTGGCGTACAGATATATTGTGCACACATACAAGCAGCGCGCGGTGCGGTTGTTCTAAGATAACTTACTTCCCCCTTCCTTATACTATGCTAATGCGGATAGCAAACCGACTCATCTTCAATCGTGTGAGGTACAGAGTCGTTGAACAACCTAATTTACTGGTAATTTATGTGTCGTAGGTTTTTGATAAAATCGGGTTTTATATCATAAGAGCGTTTCTTAAAATTTATGCCACTGATTTCAAAAACACCAAAAATAAAAAAAGTCATTGAAAGTGTTGTTGTATTTATAAATATGATAGCGTGTTTAATTAATATTTGTTTTATTTAAACAGAACTTCATTTAATTTAGGTTTTTCAAGAAAAATACATCAAAAACTGAGGGACGTAAAACTGAACGTTCTTATTTTGCTACTTCTTTTTTCACAAAAAATGTGGAAAGGTGTCTTTGAATCCCATATTTTGAATTGTTTTCTATAACTTTAAGATCGAATTATTATGTTTCTACAGAGAAGGAACGATTAAAGTTGTATATTTCTAGAAAACATGCATAATTATAATTTTTTTGCTACCAAGTCCCAAAAACTTCCATAAAAGTTTCATTCAAATGAAAAATAAAAAAGTGAGGTTGCTTAAATGTATATCACAGTCTTCTTCTTTTTTTAACTCAATATAAAACGTAAAGCTTTAGTACTTTGCTATTAAAGAAACATCACAAAACCAAAATCAAATTAAAAATATTATGGGACAGTTACAAAAAAGGATTCGTTGGTAGCAAAATAAAACTATAAGGCAGAGTGTACAAAATTGTAAAATGGCAGGTTTCTTCACTATTTTGATAGTTCTTCTAATGTAATGAATATAAATACAAAATTTCAAGAAAATCGTGGGAGCTGTTTTCGACGTCCTAATATTATATTTATATGTTCGTTAAAACAGTAAAAATAAAAATTCGTTACAAACTAAAAAGTTGACTATGGAGAAAAGTTCATAAATATTGTGGGTAGGTAAAACGTTATTTTTCAATAAATATTCACAATACCTAACTTCATGGAACAAAAAAAAATACCTGGATTAATATACGTTATAGACGTGGCTTTATAATTTCCTACTTTGTAACCAGCATTTCCACTTATACGTGACTATGGGAAAGTTGCAAAAAGGAAGTCACAAATACATGATTCACGAGCGAAGAAATTTGATTGTCGTGATTAGAATTGTTGATTGATCTAGTAAAAGTCATCAAGTTGTAGTGTAAGTTCCAATCTATGTACAAGTCATAAAAACAAGTGAATATTTGTTTTCAACTCTCCTTAAATTGGTCGCAAAACCGAACGTAAAAATTCAGCACCGATACCCCGCGCTCCCGCACACTGACACCAGTAGATGACAGTTCATGTCAATATGGCGGCCTCAAATGGTGTTTTGGTATTGCTATTTTATTCAGACTCAATAAAATTGGTAAATTTAATTAATTTTAGGGTCTAAATACGGTCACAAAACTGGAGTATTTTTTGGAACTATTTTTGGGACAAGTTTAAAATTTAAATTTAACATATAAAACGTCTTATCGCTTCTAAATGCCAGTCAAATATGGATCGTCTTAAATTGGAGCAAAGGCTAAAATAGAAATGTACGCTATGTTCCTTACAACTTTATGGAAAAGAATAGCTTCAAGTAAGACAGAAATGAAATGGGACACATGACTTTTCATACATTGTAATTTTTGAGTGCTTATTTAATTCCGTTTTTTGAATGGATTGTATAATAAAAATGCTTTAAAGTATTTTTTTATGTGAAATTAATTAATAAAGTATACTTAGAACGCATAAATACAAGCTAAACACGTTATAAAAATTTGTTATTCATCCTCAAAGTTACGGGACAGTGCCCAAAATGCGATTGGCATAAATTATGAGAAACGCTCATAAACGACGTACATGCCAAATAATTTCCTATGCTTTACTTCATATTTAGATGTGCATTTTGTATTTAACATTATATTTGGGGCAGTGGTCGGTAGTAGCTTACACAACGACCAACTTCTGAATATAACCTGAATAGCGATTGCTGCGGGTGACAGTTTGGCCAAAAACAAAGTTCTCCTTTTGCAGCAATAAACGCTAGTACAAACTGAAAATTCACTTATATTTCGCTTATTTAGGGCTTTTGTTTGAGAAAATGGAGCGTAAAATTTGCGAGTCGTCGTAGCCAAAGTTTTGGTCAATGGAAGACAGAAAGCCTGGTTTATTATTTTGTCGAATATTTCATTATTTGTTTCCTCAAAGATTTAAACCAGAATAAACTATTTAAACATGCTATTAAAAATCTACCACGACTGAGAACTTAATATATCATTGCGTAGCAAGCAGACATATGATCAACGCATCATATCGGTCGTACTATAAAATAGAAATTGGTTGTCTTTCTATCAAAGACTTTTACTTTTATACAGGTTATACGTAGTATCTGTAGGAAGAACGAGCTAGGTTGATCTATATTGAAAATAGACTATGACAGTAGAGGTAACACGAAGTATTTCAGGATTAGCCAATAGACTAAGCTCCCATTGACAACGTCTTACAAAGACCATGGAAACTGCCAGCCTAAGCGGATTCTCATCGCCAAAGGTGTCTTTTTAGATGGGTATATAATACGTTTCGAACGGTAAAGTGTGTGATGTAAATTTAAGAAAATATTAAGTTTTACAAGCCGAATAAAAAAAACTGCCAGGATTTCGGACTTCACAAACATGATCTATCGTTATAGGATACTTTCAATCGGTAGACTTATGAGGTAAGACTTTGTCACTGGGAGCTTAGTCTACAAAGAAAACAGCCAGTATATCCTCTATCCCTTGAGGGATCAGCTTTTACTGAATTTTCTTATAAGCTATAATATGTAAAACTAGTTCAAGTGGATCTTTTGTTTTGGTATGTTGACGTGTTGCCAATAGTACCAAAACCTACCAAAACCAACTCCAGAAAAACATCAATACTCTTAACTTGTTTACGCTAAGGGGCCTCCCCTTCTTCCATTTCCTAAATTAGGTTTATCAGCATCTGAAACCGTGGTACTAGCAAATCTCATACATTACAGTAATCTTACTTCATCCGCGTTTAACACCTTGAACGCTCGTTTAGCATAATGCGACCAGTAGGGTTGTTTTGTTGACGAACATTTCGCATTCCTTTGTTGAAGTTTTCAGCTTCTTCTTCTTCTTTTCGTATGGGAAACGAAGTCGTCCAACGACCCGATGAACCATGGTGTCAAAGTTTTTCAACCGCCTACTGCAAGCAGCAGGCCTTTGACATGGTTGTGTAACGACCGCCATCATAAACAGCAACCGGGACCGACAGCTTCACCTGTCCATCCGAAGCACGGAACCATCTTACTTGCGGACAATCAGATGGTTCAGCCTGCAATGTCCTAACCAGACTGGGAACAAATTCACAAAGTGATAAATACCAACTTTGTGAGTGACCCCACTGGGAATTGAACCCGGAACCTTTGCGTGGCAGGCAGGCATACTAACCACTGCGCCACATCGGCTGTCAATTCTATCGGCTATTCTATAATATTCTATCGGCTGACTTGATTGGAATTGTTGTAATTTAAGATTATAAATAGTTCGCCCTCATTACGAGGTTACAAGCAATGAACTTTAGCATGCTACTACCGCTTTGTGACCAAAACAATACGCAAGTGTTTCATACAAATTCTAGATAACAAGTTGTAGGATGTCACACAGGTTATTTGCTTGCTAGCTGTCAAACATCGCAAATTCGTAGGGCACATGTGCACTCCTTCTTCTTGATATTGTATTCGTATTTTCGCAAGATAATCTCTGTGCTGACAACCCTAACAGCGTAAGTAGCTTGCAGTAGAGTGCATTTAAGCTAAATTTTATGCGAAATGGAAAATCCTTGTATCGTCTCAAAGCGTGCATCCATCACTCGGAATTATGTGCGGAATAGAGTTTTCCCAAGATTTCTAGTGGTAAATGTTTCCGTATTAAATGTAGCGAGTATAACCGTTTACGTATTGTGTTCCAAGCTACTTTGTACTAAGGTAAGTGTATTTAGTTGCGATTCTTTGTGCAGTTTACCTAACTGCCTCTGGATGCACCGATCGATACTTGCCAAATTTCAATGTCTTGATGCTTGTCTCCAAGTGACAATATAGCTACATCTAGTCGAAAAGTAAATGAGTAGTTTCTAAATACTTTCCACTAGATGTCGCTAGATCGTCGCTTGGAGACGAGCATCAAGAGATTGAAATGTGGCAAGCATCGATCTTTGCATGGATAGCTCAGTGGCAGAGCGTTGGGGCGATAACCCATGCGGCCCGGGTTTAAACCCCGGTCCATACAAGACTTCTTTCAATTTCTTATTTTAATTTATGAAATTATATAGCCTTTTGAGTGCATTAAAATCCCAATAGAATATTTAGATAGTTCTCGTTGCACAACCATGTCTTCTACTTAGTAGCATGAGGCTTTCTGTCTGCTTACGAGATACTAGAAAAACCATAAGACTTGCATGAGTTTGTGAAGGAATGCATATGTGTGTGTGTGTGTGTGTGTGTGTGTGTAGATATGGGATTGTTATTTAGAGCCCGGATTTGCAGGATGAACATAATCTGCTACCGAGTTAACTACACTCCAAGACAAAGTAGAGATTAATTTGGATGCCAACATTTTCATTCCCTCAATTTATAGCAGTCGTTATAAGCCATGATTTACTTACTATTGTCTTTGCAATTTATTTACCTACCTAAATAAGTTTGTCTTTCACTACTAAATATGTTGACATGGCAGTTTAAACTGTACCTATGTGTATTCGTTAATTAAATATAGGCTATTGTATGTAAGTGCTAATATATACAAGGTGTCCCAAAGGAAATACATTAAATTGGAGACGTTGTGTAGACCATTGTACTGAACAATTTCTATTATGGCACCAAGTTTGAATTCTTAACAATTAAGAAATTTAAATTTTCATACAAAGTAAATGCCTACATTTACTACAACCATTATGTATTACCCCTTATCCAAGATTGCAACCTCGCAATTTTAACTTGTTGGATTTGAATCTTCGAAAAAGTTTGGAACATAGTTGTCTATGTCTTAAATTTAAACGAAAACTTAAGATAAAAGATCTCTTTCTTGGTGTCAATTTTATTTTATTGCCGCCTCAAACTAAAAACTTCTTTTGACTTAGAGCACGCATAGAGACGCAAAGACAAAGGGCCAATCAGAGAACCCAGTAGAGTCTGTAGTGTCAGTTGTGTCAGTTTTTGACAAACATGACATTTGACCTTGGTCTAATACGCCACCAAATACGCCACTGTTGCCTTGGCAACTAAATTACCGCCAAAACCGTTGCCTTGGCAACAGTTGTGGCGGTAATTTCAAAAGTTTTTCCAAGACGGCAACATAACATAAATAAAGGTCATAATCAATAAAGCTCCTTTCATAATGTGGTACTCAATTAAATTTAACAAATTTCAGTTGCTGATTACTTCTAAACGAGGAGTTTTCAGACCTTGGCCCCATAATGAAAATTGTTCGGTTCGATGGCCTACACAACGTCTCCAATTTAATGTATTTACATTGGAACACCTTGTATAGGTATGTGATGATGGTTACCATGGAATGAGAATGGGATGGAAGATCTGTGTTAGGCGAGGAACACTCCGGTAATGTCCGTTTGTGCGTCGTTTGTCTTATTTTCATACGAATACAGTTTATCTCAAACGGTTTGATAGGCGCATCCGTATAACATAAACTGTATTTGTATAAAGAACATGTAGAAATGGACGATATGTGTGTTTTGGTTATGAAAAAGTCTCAAACGTGTATGGCATTAAGTTTTATAAAACTTATACAGCAATACGTTCACAAATCATTAGGCGTAACGATTTTTCGACGCAGGCTCATTACGGCAGTACTCAACTCGCAACCGAAAATCCCATATCCCCAACCGCAATCCACCGTTTTCCCCAAAAATTTACCCATTATCGGGAAACCACAAATTGCACCTATACACGTAGACACCAGGGATGTGAGAAAATAATCGATTATTTTAATAATCGAAGTTTCTTTGACAAAAAAATCGATTAATTAAAGGATTAGAATTAATTGATCGATAAAAAATCGATTTCATTTTCAAAATTTCCAAAATCACAGAAACCGATTTTTTCGCCTCTATTCTTTTACCAAACGTCTTGATTATGCACACACTATACCACACGTGTATTAATTAACGGCTATTTTTGCATCCAAGCTGTAAATAGGGTCTGAAAATACTGTTTAGCCGGCATGAAAAAAAAAGAAACCGTTCTAATACTGTTTGTAGTAGCAATACGAAAAAAATTAACATTTTTATTAAAAAACTATGTCTTTTAAAACAAAAATCGATTTATTTTTAATCGTTTTTTTGCGACCAGAAATAATCGATTATAAAAAAAATCGTTTTTTTTATTATTCAAGTCACATCTCTAGTAGACACTACGGTACGGTCCGCCCCCACATTAATGCACCCTAGAGGCTAGGGTGTGTACACGTGATACGCGTTTTAATTCCAAAACACGGACATTTCCTGAATTTCATTCCGATGTTGCCCGCTGCAACCGTCTTTGCCCGGTATGCGGGAATAATTTAATTACGGCGAAGACAATTATGGTTTCACTTATTGTTTGGGTGTGGTTCGTGCTATGAGTGCATTATAAAGATGAACTCTTTTGACTAATCAGCATGTAAAGGAAAATAAAAAATTAAGTCAGTTATAATTGCTAGCTGGCGTAATCACCACTTTCATACCTATATTACCTATTGATCCTAGTTCAATAAAGTAATTTAAGGTGGATCGTTTTCCATACAAAAGTTAAATGGAGTTAAGTCTTAAAATGAGACAAAAATTTGATTAAAAAACTGGATGGGAAGTCCCGTGCTATAATATTTTCGCAAAATAAAACAAAAAATCTTTGCCATCAAATTTCTCTGTAAAAACCGTTTCGCCACTTTATAAACATAGATGGAGCTACTGCTGCAATAAACACGTTTAATTTTTTTGTGGAGAAAATACTTAATGTGTTTGTGAAAACTCACGGACATGTGCATTCTCCCTGCTCAAACTTGGTTTTAGACTGACTTCCAGAAGTCCAACTTCAAGGTGGTGGTATGGGGTGGTTCATAACTTGCCAACGTGGTGGTATAGTGTGGTTCAAAATATACCTTATTCCAAAGCTTTCCACTCTATTGATGTAGATATTGGAAACAACATCAGCAACACATTTGAATAGGCAATGCTGACTTTGCACTCTGGGGCAAAGAGTTAAGGTTTAATATTGGAAGGTCAGGCCGAATTTGAAATGTGCAGTGTACCTGGAAAGGCAAAAGTGAGTTTGTCTGCAGTGAAGTGTTTTATGATTGTTACTTATACTTTTTATATGAAGAAATATAGCATTCATTTACATTGTGACTGTAAGTATAAATTTACCCAACTAGCACTATCAACATCATGAGGTATCAAGTCCACAGCTGGTCAAAGAGTTGTAGGTTATTTGCCATACCCACACCAGGTTTGGCGGACAGGATGGTGAGAGCAATGCAAGAAGTTGTAGGGACAGGGAACTCTGCTAAACTTTTGGTGGATGGCTTTAGGTACCTACATATCACTTATACCTTGGTCGCTTTTTGAGATACCCAAGTGTACAAATGGACTATCGCTTTTATAATCCGGCTTACTTCTAGGTATTATATTTAGTCGAATACCCAGCTCTTTTCAAAGGCACTATACAGAAACTAATATCCTACTACCCATTACTCCACCACGTTTCGTTATTTAGAATATTCCGCAGGTCAGTCAGGTTGATGGAAGAACGCGCCACCTAGCGGCGCACAACAAAACTAATCCAACACTGAAACAAAGCCACTATCTCGTCTCCCGAGCAGCCTAGTTTCGAACCGAGTTGACAATTTGACATCGAAACGGACACTGATCGACGACTTTTGTGCGCGATGGTACGCAGGCTATACCTATGGGCTATACAGTCTAGCGGATTTGGCGGTGGGCCAAACAGACGAGCGTTTTATCTATTCAGAATTGAATGTAGCTATGATAAAATTGTCTACGTCGGTAGACGCCTGCGGGCAAACCTCATAACTTAAATTGAAGTTTTCAATTGGTTACAATGGTTTGGCAGGTGTATTTAGTATTAGTGATTCAGTAATTTTTAGAAGAGGATTAAGTTTAATCTTTTTTGGATTTTTCATTTCCTCGGATGGAATCATTCACAACAGTCCCTAGTATCACTGAGCAAAGTCGCATCAACTATGCCGGCAAAACAGCTTTTCTTTTCTAAGGACCAAGACTACAAGGCTTGCAGTTTCAAAGTAATATGCCTCATTCAGGTTAAGGCGCATCGTTACGTCATACAAACGAAAATCTGAACTTCAACCGAGTTAAACATGAGCTAAACAACAATTTTATCGAAAAAACTTTGTGTGAAATGATGAAGGCACACGTAAATTTCTCGCGAAACTACTTATGGTAAAAAAAATATCATAGCTTTTAAAATTACTTGTTGCTGTCTATTACGATCACGACAAAGGTCTACCGATAGTACGGCCTACTCCCTACCTTGTAGGCGGTTTCAAATCCGTGACACTAGCTCATAAGGTCGTTTGTCGATTCTGCTTTCAATAATTTATGAAGGAACGAATTATTAATACATATAAATTAGACTTTTTGGAAAACTTCTAAAATTTTCACCGCAGGCAGGATTTTAACCTGCGACCTTCGGCATCAATACTGCCGACGCCCTAACCAACCAACCGCGGTAGCCCAGTTAGGTAGCCAATTGTTTACCTAACACGAGAAGTGTTTTAAAATTTGGTATTCAATATAAATTAGACATTAAAATATGAACATTGCATAACACAAATTACGACAAACGGAGAGTGGGTGAAATGTAGACTTTTGCAATATTTGTAACCCTTCAGTTAACTTTCCCTAAGGTAGGCACTTGCCTACACTTAATAAGTACCACCCTTGTTCCACCTGTGTTGTTTACAAGGGACAGGTCAGTGACATTCCTGTTTGCTTTCGTTTAGCGCTAATGATGTTTAAGACGATTATTCCAGCGTAAAACGGAACGTAACGAAATATTTGAACAACAAACACTGGTACGAAACGTGAGTGAACTTAGAGTAATAAAATGTTGATATTAGGTTTGACTCCATTATTTTTCTCATGCTTTGACCCATAGCTATGAACGAACATGTAATAGACAAGTCGCGATTTTGCAAAAACACCAAAAAAATAAACACTGCAGCTATGTTGAAATCACTAAACCGAATTTAATGAA